CTGAAGCTTGAAGAGACGTAGCACAAAGCTCACCAAACTTATTTTGTACAGATGCCAGTTACTATTCAACCAGCCTCACAATTTCATAATCTTTCCCATGTTATAAATTACATTTCATTATTATATTATTTTTGCAGGGTGCTCTTTAGCTATAGATGCAGTCATAAATAGATGCAAATATTTAACTCTGCTTCACAGATGTTTTTCCTTTTTTCCTCTGGTATGGTTTTTTTTTTTTCCTCCAGTCGAAATTCTTTTGAGAGCTCCATATCTACATCTTAGTCTGTACTAGCAGGAATAATTTTCTGACTAGTTTGCATCCAACTTCTTAAACACAAATAATATGTCAACTCAGTCATTTTCAAGGAAAATGCTTGATACAGAGTCTAATGAGTGAATTGTTTTGTTTGACCTGGTTTTGGTCAATGTGGTTTAAAAGCTACTTCATCTTGATTGCATTCATGGGATAGTTTATGTAAATTATAGAAAAGGAAGTTTGTATGTTGTATAGTATAAACCGGCCAAAGATTTGACATAGTACCGTTAAATTAATGAGAAATACTGTACATAAATGCAGTACTGGAGTACAATGTTTTTTCCCTTTTTCTGGTTCTTTCTCTTTGCTGAGATGGGTAACTAACAGTTCTGATCCCTTTGAGATGTCTGAAGTTTCAGCATTAACTGAATTTTAAATTTATTGCTTGATCTTCGACTAATCCTTTCATGGAAGGATGAAGGTGCATAGCTTTGTAATTTCCACATATGAACCAAGAATACTGTAACCTGCCACCTCAGTAGCTGTTCTTGAGTGTTTTGGCTTCATTCAGGTAAAACTGAAGAACCTGGGGCTGCAGGGTTTGTGACTTGTAATAGCACATGTAGACCAGGATGTCAGTCTCTTTTAGGAGTAATTTAGCTACTCTTCACTTTATTTGCTGTGACTGTGGGCGGTGTTATTGACAAGTAAGTTGCTGACCAATATTTTAATACATGCGCACATGTAGTCAATTTAGGATTTGACTGCTTTAAAAACAAACAAACAAAACGAAACCTACTACAGTTCTGTATTGGAGCCAGTTTCTTTTCCCCTGTAATCAAGCTTCTTGCAGTGCACGAAAGCAACTTGGAAGGTAAAGATAAAATTGTGCCTTTGCTTTCACTTGTGAATGGGGGAGGAGAAATATAAAGACCATCTCAAATTCTTCTTCAAATGCCAAAGCGCAGCCTTCCAAACCTCAGCAGATATTCTTGGGAGAACTCTACTCAGCAGAGTTGCACAGGCAATACACCAGCAGATATAATGTGTCCACAAGGATTGCCTGGCTCCAGAGAGCTTTTTGCAGCACATGCAAACAAGCAGCCATGATAATTCTGCTTAGTAGATGGTGGGCACACAAGTTGTTCCAGTTCAAAGCAGCAACAAATTCATTCATTTTACTAGACTGTTCTTCAGGATCTTGCTTCCTGTAGTGCCTCCTCCCTCTCCCTCTAATACAGTGGCTGTGAGAAGGAACATGGGCTGTTAACTTCTTTTATTCCTGAGGGCACCTTGTTTTACTGTTTTGGAATTATTAAAATTTAGTCATTTGTGGTGATGCAGAAGTGTTTATCCTATTTTTATTTAAGCACTTCATAAAGATCTTTCTTTATCATTGATTTTAAAATACGTAGTTATTCTTCCAATTTTATTGAGAATCTTGTTGGGTATAAAAGCCACATTTAACAAACTTTTATCATGCCATGTACTGGTATGATACATGGCATAGGAATCTTTTCAAAGAATATTTTAGTGTCTGGCTTTGCCTTCTTGAAACTTACTTTGTTCTCCTTAAAATTCTTTATATGGCATTTTCTCCAAAAATGAGATGAACAATGTCCATAGGAAAAAAATACTTGTAACCAAGACTATAATTAGAACTGTCTGGAAGCAGAGCTAACTAGTTCTCTATTTCTAAATTAAAGGTAATAAAATGGGTGTATTTTAAATGCCCAGGCGGTGACAAGCGGAACAAAACGAGCTATCTTTAGAACCTTGGAATTCATTACATTTGAGTTGTGCATCTTTTTTCCTAGCTACTAAATGTTTTCTATGTATATTTGTGCAGGAAGAAGCACTCTGTGGATTTCGGGTGAGTGATTACTTAGAATACATGGAAAGCTTGGAGGCGATCTACAGACCTATGCTGCTGAACGACATGAGGAACATAAGAGTGCAGAATACATAGATGAAGCAAAAAAGTGCTTTATTTTACAGTGTTGGTTGCATCTTTTAAAAGGATGCTGGTTGATTGATATATCAATCCCACCTATTTATAAGTCAGGCTGTGTAAATGTACATAACTGTAAAATAAGTAAGGAGGATTTTCAAAATATAGATTTTGCAAAAGGACTTAATCTAAGTTTGATAAGTTTAAATACCACATTTTTCCAGACAGGCTGTACCTGCAGCCTCAATTTCAGTTAACAGAAGGCAGCTTCAGAACCCACCTGTAGGATGCTGAGGTGTCTTCCTTAGAACATGTCTTCCCTACAAAGCCTTCAACCTGTTCCCAACTCATCACATTATTGTCATCTTCTTGTAGCACAGTCTTAAAACCTTCATATTTTGCTAAGGTCTGACGAAGTGATTTTTCTTAGAAACAACTGCTAGAGTGTTTTTGTGTGCATGAGAAGTAAAGAAATGAAATACAAATTCCCATACACAGCTGTTCTGACATTGTGAATAACATTGGGAAAATGGGGTGTCCATATACATGCAATAAAAAAAAAGACTGATATTCCTGTCTTCTTTTAAAATAAATATTTTTATTACATAAAACATTTATTTGTAATGTACACTTTCTGTCTGTATAAGTGAGTGAGAAGTCTTGAGTGGCTGTGGTGGTTTAAACCACTTTTA